TCTGTGTCTGACTTTTATTCTGAAGGAACGAATTCAACTGTACATGTGCTTTCAAAATAAGAGTCTGAATACTCCAGAGTCCTTCTGTACTGTACTACTACTACTACTACAATTATATATACAGATGTGGACAAAACTGTTGGTCCCTCTGGCAATGAAACTAAAATCAACAATAATCACTGAAATAACTTGAAACTGATTAAAGCAAAAATAAATAAAAATGTACAGAAAATTGCCCAATGAAAACCTGTGGTTCAACAGAATCATTAGAAAAAATAAATAATATATATATATATATATATATATATATATATATATATATATATATATATGACACTGGCCTGGACAAAAATTATGGTTCCTTAACTTAATATTTTTTTAACACAACATTTTGAGGCAAACTGCAAACAAATGATTTCTGTAACTGTTAGTGAAACTTCTTCTCTGAAATTTGGCCCAGATTCTGTCAGAGCCACAGTTTTGGAGAAAACTGTTGTTATTAAATTGCTCTTCAGTGGTTAATTAAATAAATGATTCAAAAGTGATTCAAGTGTAACATTTGATATAAATTCTCTAAAAGACGTGATCGTGGAAAAAGACGCTTGTCACAAATTCAAGATGGACACTTTTTAAAGATGGCCTCTGTTCCTGTAGAATATGAATTATTTCATTTAATACAAACGTCACATCAGGCAGAAAAACTCTTTTGGACAAAGGTACGTCCATCCATCCATCCATTTTCTTCCGCTTATCCGGGGCCGGGTCGTGGGGGCGGCAGTCTAAGCAGGGACTCCCAGACTTCCTTCACCCCAGACGCGTCCTCCAGCTCCTCCGGGGGGACCCCGAGGTGTTCCCAGGCCAGCCGAGAGGGACATAGTCCCTCCAGTGTGTCCTGGGTCTTCCCCGGGGCCTCCTCCCGGTGGGACATGAACACCTCCTGAGAGAGACGTCCAGGAGGCATCAGAACAGATGCCCGAGCCTCAACTGGCTCCTCTCGACGTGGAGGAGCAGCGGCTCTACTCCGAGCTCCTCCCGTGTGACTGAGCTCCTCACTCTGTCTCTAAGGGAGACGCCCACACACCCTGCGGAGGAAACTCATTTCGAGCGCTTGTATCCGCGATCTCGTCCTTTCGGTCACTACCCAGAGCTCATGACCAGAGGTGAGAGTAGGAACGAAGACTGACCGGTAAATCGAGAGCTTCGCCTTTCGGCTCAGCTCCTCTTCACCACAACGGTCCGGGGGGCAGGGGGCAGTGAGGGCACTGGGGGCAGTGGGGGCATCTGCATGTGCTTGAGCGTCTATATAAACATTTATATAAACACTGTGCTAAAAAGCAGAACATGTGCATGTTTGGTTCTGTGAAGAACATAAACACCTGCAGAGACCTCGAGGGGGCGCTGTGCTCTGTTCTGTTCTGTGATTTGTGGTTCTCAGGGGGCGTCGCCTGAGCCTCTTGTAGAACCTTCAGAACAGTTCACACACAGTCTGACGGCCCCTGACACACACAAAGTCCCTCAGGTTCATTTCGGCTCTTAGGTTGTTTTTTCAGAGTTTGTTTTTGTACCTGCTCCTGCGCTCTTCCTCCTTCTCTCTTCCTCTTCCTCTTCCTCTCTTCCTCTTTCCTCTCTTCATCTTCCTCTTCCTCCTTCTCTCTTCCTCTTCCTCTCTTCCTCTTCCTCTCTCTTCTCTTCCTCTTCCTTCCTCCTTCTCTCTTCCTCTTCCTCTCTTCATCTTCCTCTTCCTCCTTCACACTCGTGTCCAAAGTGCCACAAAAGAAGAAAAGAACAGAAAAGACAAAGTCCTGAGGAGCACTGAGTGCTGCTCACCACCAGAGGGCGACGTCACACAGGACACAGGAAGTACTTCTGATGTGCACTGTGTACTTTTACTTTTACTACAGTACTGTGAAATAAAAGTACACAGTCACTTCATCACTGTGTACTTTTACTTTTACTACTAATAGTCCAGTGTTTCCTAGACTTTTTTCCTGGAGACTCATATTTTAAAAGTGACAAACCTTTTTCGACGTTTTTCATAAATCACAAAGTGAAGTTGTATTTTTCACTGAACCAGAAACCAGACCTGAACCAAACCAGACCTGAAACCAGACTTTTTTGCAGACCTGACTGAACCAGGACTGAGGACCCAGACCTGAACCAGGACCCAGACCTGACCCAGACCTTGAACCTCCCAGACCTGAACCAACCCAGACCTGAACAGGAAGACCTTTGAACCAGGACCCAGACCTGAACCAGAAAGACTTGTGACCTTGAACCAACCCAGACCTGAACCAGACCAAAGACTGACCTCAGACCTGAACCAGACCTGAACCAGACCTGACCTAACCCAGACCTGAACCAGGACCCAGACCTACCCAGACCTGAACCAGGACCCAGACCTGAACCAGAACCCAGACCTGAACCAGGACCTGAACCAGGACCCAGACAGACTGAACCCAGACCTGAACCAGGACCCAGACCTGAACCAGAACCCAGTGAACCAGGACCCAGACCTGAACCAGAACCCAGACCTGAACCAGAACCCAGACCTGAACCAGGACCCAGACCTGAACCAGACCCAGACCTGAACCAGGACCCAGACCTGAACCAGAACCCAGACCTGAACCAGGACCCAGACCTGAACCAGGACCCAGACCTGAACCAAACCCAGACCTGAACCAGGACCCAGACCTGAACCAGGACCCGACCTGAACCAGAACCCAGACCTGAAACCAGGACCCAGACCTGAACCAAACCCAGACTGAACCAGGACCCAGACCTGAACCAGACCCAGACTTGAACCAGACCAGACCTGAACCAGACCTGAACCAGGACCAGACTGAACCAACCCAGACTGAACCAGGACCCAGACCTGAACCAGGACCCAGACCTGAACCAGGACCCAGACCTGAACCAGAACCCAGACCTGAACCAGGACCCAGACCTGAACCAGGACCCAGACCTGAACCAGAACCCAGACCTGAACCAGGACCCAGACCTGAACCAGAACCAGAACCAGAACCCAGACTGAACCAACCACCTGAACAACAGAACCCAGACCTGAACCAGACCCTGAACCAGACCCAGACCCAGACTGAACCAGAGAAACCAGACCTAGACTGAACCAGGACCCAGGACCCAGACCTGAACCAGGACCCAGACCTGAACCAGAACCCAGACCTGAACCAGACCCTGAACCAACCAGACCTGACAACCAGGAACCAGACCTAACCAGACCAGACCTGAACCAGGACCCAGAAATGAACCAGAACCCAGACCTGAACCAGGACCCAGACCTGAACCAGGACCCAGACCTGAACCAGGACCCAGACCTGAACCAGGACCCAGACCTGAACCAAACCCAGACCTGAACCAGGACCCAGACCTGACCAGACCCGGACCCAGACCTGAACCAGAACCCAGACCTGAACCAGGACCCAGACCTGAACCTGAAGACCCAACCTGAACCAACCAGGACCCAGACCTGAACCAGGACCCAGACCTGAACCAGAACCCAGACCTGAACAACCCAGACCTGAACAACCAGAAACCTGAAACCAGACCCAGACCTGAACCAGACCCAGACCTGAACCAGGACCCAGACCTGAACCAGACCCAGACCTGAACAGGACCCAACCTGAACCCCCAACCTGAACCCAGACCTGAACCAGACCCACCACCTGAACCCAGAACCAGGACCCAGACCTGACCAGACCCAGACCTGAACCAGGACCAGACCTGAACCAGACCCAGGAACCAAAACCCAGACCTGAACCAGACCCAGACCTGAACCAGGACCAACCAGACCCTGAACCAGAACCAGAACCCAGACCTGAACCAGGACCCAGACCCTGAACCAGGACCCAGACCTGAACAGACCAGAAAGAACCAGGACCCAGACCTGAACCAGACCAACCAGACCCAGACTGAACCAGGACCCAGACCGAAACCCAGACCTGAACCAACCACCTGAACCAGACCCAGACCTGAACCAACCAGACCTGACCCAGACCAGAACCAGGAACCAGGACCCAGACCTGACCAGAAACCAGAACCAGACTGAACCAGACCCAACCTGAACAGGACCCAGACTGAACCAGGACCCAGACCTAACCAGGACCCAGACCTGAACCAGGACCAGACTGAACCAAACCCAGACCTGAACCAGGACCCACTGAACCAGGACCCAGACCTGAACCAGGACCCAGACTGAACCAGGACCCAGACCTGAACCAGACTGAACCAGGACCCAGACCTGAACCAGAACCTGAACCAGACCTGAACCAGGACCCAGACCTGAACCAGACCTGAACCCAGACCTGAACCAGGACCAGAACCTTGAACCAGGACCCAGACCTGAACCAGAACCAGACCTGAACCCAGACCTGAACCAGGACCCAGACCTGAACCAGAACCCAGACCTGAACCAGGACCCAGACCTGAACCAGAACCCAGAGACCTGAACCAGACCCAGAAATGAACCAGGACCCAGACCTGAACCAGGACCCAGAACCAGAAAGAACCAGAAACCAGGACCTGACCAACCAGAAAGAACCAGAACCCAGACCTGAACCAGGACCCAGACCTGAACCCAGACCTGAACCAGAACCCAGACCTGAACCAGGACCCAGACCTGAACCAGACCTGAGGACCCAGACCTGAACCAGGACCCAGACCTGAACCAGGACCCAGACCTGAACCAAGAACCCAGACCTGAACCAGGACCCAGACCTGAACCAGGACCCAGACCTGAACCAGGACCCAGACCTGAACCAGGACCCAGACCTGAACCAGGACCCAGACCTGAACCAGGACCCAGACCTGAACCAGGACCCAGACCTGAACCATGAACCCAGAACCAGACCTGAACCAGGACCCAGACCTGAACCAGGACCCAGACTGACCAGGAAACCAGAACCCAGACCTGAACCAACCCAGACCTGAACCAGGACCCAGACCTGAACCAGACCTGAACCAGAACCAGAGACCTGAACCAGGAC